CCTCAATCACTGCTCTGCATCGCCTGGGCATAGACTGTATAAAACGTCGGATCCGCCGATGTGGGATTCTTCTCCACTCATCCTGCAACGCATCGACAAGCTGTTGACGTGTCTGTGGTTGCGGCTGTGGGCGTCGTACACGTTGATCCAATTGGTCCCACAAATGTTCAATTGGGTTAAGATCCGGAGATTTTGAAGGCCATGAAAGAACTGTAATGTTGTTGATGGCAAGGAAATCTGTTGTAATGCGTGCTGTATGCGGTCTTGCGTTGTCATGCTGGAAAATTTCTCTTCTAGCGTCAATTACGGGAATAGCATGACATACCAGGATTTCATCACGACAGCGCACAGCATTCAAATTCCCTTGGACATGCACCAGCTCTGTTCTGTCATTCACAAATATGCCTGCCCACATCATTACACCTTCGCCGCCGTGTCTGTCGACCTCACGAACACACTGTCGAGCATATCTTTCATTTTGACGTCTGTAAATCCGCATCCTGCCATCATGTGGATACAGCATAAACCCCGACTCGTCGCTGAACCAGATCCTCCTCCAGTTCAAGAGGGTCCATGGCCGAACGTTCCTGCTCCATTGAAGACGTGCACGACGATGGTGCCGTCGCAGAACAGGTCCTGTATGTGGTCGCATCGGTCGGATTCCATGCTCTCTTAGGCGATTCCTGATGGTTTGTGCAGAGACTCGACGCAGCCCAGGAACATTGTCGGCGGTGTACGCTGCAGTGACGGTCCGATTTCGCAGATGAAACACCCGGATGAAGTGGTCTTGCGCTGGAGTTGTCACCCTTGGTCTCCCATCGAGTTGTGCTGCGTGTAGCGCTGCCAGAGACGGGAAATCGTACTCTGCCTCACGTTTAGATGTCTGGCAACTGGTGACTAGCTTTCTCCAGCTTCCAAGTGTCCAATGGCTCTGTTTCTGCTTTCTTCGTTTAGTCGTGGCATCTTGAGGGTCGCATATACAGAATTTCGGAGAATGAATCGCAACAGGACTGCTGGCTTTTTATACCCATCAGTATCAAGATTCAGATCCCGCATTTGCACGTGCATCATGCTTTCAGATTTTTCTACATGCAGATTATACGGGGATTTTTTTCAAGGTGCTGTGTTTTGGCGAATAATCACAAAAGGTTGTTTTTGCGTGTGTTGGATAATTGTATGGGCTATATTCACACTAATTATTGACATTGACAGTTTTTCCATGCCATATTTTTCGAAACAATCTACTTTGAAGATCAGAATTCAGCTATGCGTTTCTTTTTGGGCCAGTGTAGCTCGAATTCTTTGAACATCATGGTCGCCATGAGAAACACCATGATAATAGCGAAAGTGAAGAACATCATGGTCGTCATGAGAAACACCACGATAATAGCGGAAATGAAGAACATCATGGTCGTCATGGCAGGCACCACGATAGTAGTGGAAGTGAAGAACATCATGGTCGTCATGACAAACACGACGGAAGTCATCATAGTAGCGAAAGTGAAGAGCATCATGGTCGTCATGGCAAACACCATGATAGTAGTGGAAGTGAAGAACCTCGTGGTCGACATGGCAGACACCATGATAGTAGTGGAAGTGAAGAACATCATGGTCGTCGACATTATGGTCATCATAGCAGCTATTAAGTTCTCTCAGAGGCATGTTGTAAATCCTTTGCAGAGCAACCCTTTATCCGTTTATATTTTAAAAATCGATATTAAAAATATAATTGCAATACTGTACCCATTTTCCTTGCTCATACATTTTATATTACATAGTACTTTGCATAGAGAATTGAGAACTTCTTTCAAAAGAGGGAACATATATGCCGCTTTCGCAGTATCCAGGATAGTAAATCCAGAGACAAAAAATGCATTTCAACGAAAAAGTCAAATGCATGGCCATGATTAAATATCGCTAAAACAAAGAACGTACAATTGTCAAATGGGCTGGAAAGGAATGTTTTGGGTACAATTGACAATATCGCAATGTGTTGTATCTACCTGTATGTCCTTGCAAAATACATGAATATATGCATCTACGTGTTCTTTTATTCGTTTGTACACACAGATTCATTGCCTGATATGCAGCGTTTCTCTCCTGTATCGATCACATGGCTCGCCTCCATATTCACTGTGTCTGACCTTCTGGGAGGTATTTAATGTACCCACTGTCCATCCAAGGAAACATCTCCCTTGTCTTTGTTGGACATTGGTGGAGGATGCATTCACCACATGATGATAACAGGTATATTCGTCGGGATGGACTTCTACGAAGAAACATAAGAACCAGGCTAGCTATTCTCGAAACGTTCGTAGCCCTACGAACTTCTTAAGCCCATTCTTAATTCATTGGCTACGATCAAAGTTAAGAATTCTTAGGGCTACGAACGTTTCGAGAATAAGGGCTCTGGCTAGCTATTCTCGAAACTTTCGTATCCCTACGATCTTCTAAAGCCATTCTTAACACATTGGCTACGATCAAAGTTAAGAATTCTTAGGGCTACGAACGTTTCGAGAGTAAGCGCCCTGGGTAGAGTCAGGGTAGAATACCTAACTGCCTCTTGGCTCTGTACGACGGTTAAATAGCTCGAATCCTTATGTTACGAAACGTAAGGATCTAATGATAAAACGGGTGTGTGGACCTGTGCATGGAGCTGAGGTCACAATCAGTTGAAGTTAAGAAACGTTGGGCTCGGAGAGTAATGGATGGTGACCGTGTTGACATCATGTTGACTCCTGAGAGTTTATAGGACTTGAGTGCTGCCCCACCACGAAGCATTAGGCAAGTGAATCTGTTCAAAATTGCCTCTGATCACACAACAGAAAATGGGTACCCGGTGGGATATGTCATGTGACCTTCAGGTGCCTCACAGGCAGCTTGGGTTATCCGGGTTAATAATGTGATGTGCTTTGTTAGCGCTATGAGCATTCACTATAGTGAATGGAGTTTAGCGCATGATAAATGCACTTATTGCTATTATAAAAGACTGACCATTAGTAACGAGAGCCTTGAATCAATGCGTGTCCCCAAACTCATGGAAAGGCATTCATATCGAAGCTAACACTTCTATATTGTTTCGAGGCAATGGCCATGGGGGATAAAGGGTTTTAGTGCCACTGTTATATATACAAACCTATGTTAAAATATAGGATCGTCATAGTGCTAAGATCGCTTATGGAACTCGGTACTTGTCATGTCGATCACTTTTCAATACACTTGCACTTAATACAAAGAGAATACATTGCTCAAGTCTTCAGTTCTTAAGGCACAGGAAACTAACATTTCATATTACGTTAAAAATATCTTTTGTTAGGATTAAAGATATTAACACAACTGTAATTTACATGCCTGGTCTTCCCTTCTTTTAAATTCCTTTGGGTGTCTGATGTTATTAACACTTACTACACAATAAGATAAGATAAGATAAGATAAGATAAGATAAGATAAGATAAGATAAGATAAGATAAGATAAGATAAGATAAGATAAGATAAGATAAGATAAGATAATACGTTATTTCCCGTGAGGGAATTTCGTGTACATCAGAGGTAGACATGTTAAAACAGAAAGCAAGATGCAAACAGACACATTAACATAAACCATAATATTTAAGACATCCACAGTAATAGCACACGTAGAGTCCCTAAAGGTTAAACATAATAGGTTATGACCATAATTACGATTCTAACACAAGAGACAGCAGAATATTTAAGATTAGTTTAAAAGAGGTATACTAACGGGAATACAATAGTGTTTTGCTCTCTCAGATTTAACATTGGGGATAAGATATCTACGATCAGAGGGTGGAAGATTATAATAAGAGTTTAAAACATGAGATGGGTCATTTAAACTTCTTGATGCCATACACTTAACTGCTGCTATAATGAATTAAAAAATGAATATATAAGTAAACTTTTCAATAACTGAAACCAGCAAGATGTGTCAGTGATGTGTATGCTATTTATATTATCAAATTTGCAGAAAAAAAGCCAAAACCTATTTTAAGCATTTAACTATGATTGCATTGAAGACGAAGCACTCACTAACACACATCAGCATATTTTCATGAGAATTCCTAATTGATACATGACGATGTCCAAATTGAAACAGTAAGTTGACCAAGAACTCAGCGTAAACCAAGAAAGAACAAGAGAACAAAGAAATTCTTATACTGAAAAACGTAATATTTTATCAAACCAGTCTACACATACTACCAGTCACAGCAAAGTACCTACAATCCCAGTGAGTGAGTGAGTGAGTGAGTAAGTTCAGTTAAACGCCACACTCAGCAATATTCCAGCTATATGGCGGCGGTCTGTAAATAATCGAGTCTGGACCAGACAATCCAGTGATCAACAGCATTAGTATCGATCTACGCAGTTTGGATAGGATGACATGTGTCAATTAAATCAGCGAGCCTGACCACCCCATCCCGTTAGTCGCCTCTTACGACAAGCATGGGTTACTGAAGGTCAATTCTAACCCGCATCTTCACGGGTACCTACAATATCGACACTGTTCTGAACATGTCACTCGACGACCAAACTTTTGTAACTTGTAACTTTCAAGCTACTGTTTTTGATGGTAGTACATTCCTGACACCTAAGAATTAATTTGAGAGAGAGAGAGAGAGAGAGAGAGAGAGAGAGAGAGAGAGAGAGAGAGAGAGAGAGAGAGAGAGAGAGAGAGAGAGAGAGAGAGAGAGAGAGAGAGAGAGAGAGAGAGAGGAGTTGTGGTGAGAGTGACATTACACATCCATATTCTGGTAGATTCTAGAGGGTTCGTTCCATCGATCAGCATGAAATCCAACGGGAATCGTTTCCCCATTAATACCAGAATACCTTCGAGTATATGAAGTGTGCATGGATGCATTTCATTCTTGCATCGAGACAGCCGTCCAAACAAAACGTGTTAGCGTAATCTTACAAAAAAAATAGTTTAGAATTCGGTCAGAGTTTACTACACTTAGCATGCAGCTTTATCTTTCCTTTGTCCCCAGAACACCATACGGAACGAGAGATCATCTCCATTCCTAAAGGACATGACGACCACGAACATCAAAGTAATACAAGTAGCGAAAGTCACCACAGTCATCACAGCAGCCACGAAAGTCATGGAAGTAGCGGTCACCATAGCAGCAGCGAAAGTCATGGAAGTAGCGGAAGTCACGAAAGTCATGGTCACCATAGCAGCAGCGAAGGTGAAGTGTATCCTGGTCGACATAGAGGACACCATGATAGTAGCAGAATTGAAGAGCATCATGGTCGACATGGCAGACACCATGATAGTAGCGGAAGTGGAGAGCATCATGGTCGACATGGCAGACACCATGATAGTAGTGGAAGTGAAGAGCATCATGGTCGACATGGCAGACACCATGAAAGTAGTGAAAGTGAAGAGCATCATGGTCGATATGGCAGACACCACGGAAGTCATCATAGTAGCGAAAGTGAAGAGCATCGTGGTCGACATGGCAGACATCATGAAAGTGAAGAAAGTGAAGACAGACAGCATCATGGTCGACATGGTCGACATGGCACACCATGATAGAAGCGGAAGTGAAGAACATCATGGTCGATATGGCAGACACCATGATAGTAGCGGAAGTGAAGAGCATTATCATATGACAGACACCACATAGGTGGAAGTGAAGAACATCATGGTCGATAGTAGCCATGATAGTAGCGAAAGTGAAGAACATCATGGTCGATATGACAGACACCATGATTGTAGCGAAAGTGAAGGGCATCATGGTCGCCATGGCAGACACCATGATAGAAGTGGAAGTGAAGAACATCATGGTCGACATGGCCAACGCCACGATAGTAGCGGAAGTGAAGAGCATTATGGTCGATATGACAGACACCATGATAGTAGTGGAAGTGAAGAACATCATGGTCGACATGGCAAACGCCATGATAGTAGCGAAAGTGAAGAACATCATGGTCGATATGACAGACACCATGATTGTAGCGAAAGTGAAGAGCATCATGGTCGACATGGCAGACACCATGATAGTAGTGGAAGTGAAGAACATCATGGTCGATATGTCAGACACCATGATAGTAGCGGAAGTGAAGAGCATCATGGTCGACATGGCAAACGCCACGATAGTAGTGGAAGTGAAGAACATCATGATCGTCATAACAGACACCACGATAGTAGTGGAAGTGAAGAACATCATGGTCGACGTGGCAGACACCATGATAGTAGTGGAAGTGAAGAACATCATGGTCGACGTGGCAAACACCACGATAGTAGCGGAAGTGAAGAACATCATGGTCGACATGGCAAACACCATGATAGTAACGGAAGTGAAGAACATCATGTTCGATATGACAGACACCATGATTGTAGCGAAAGTGAAGAGCATCATGGTCGACATGGCAGACACCATGATAGTAGTGGAAGTGAAGAGCATCATGGTCGCCATGGCAAACACCACGGTAGTAGCGGAAGTGAAGTACATCATGGTCGACATCATGAAAGTAGCGAAAGTGAGGAACATCATGGTCAACGTGGCAGACGCCACGATAGTAGCGAAAGTGAAGAACACCATGGCAGGGTTCATGATAGTAGCGAAAGTGAGGAACATCATGGTCGAAATGGCAGACACCATGATAGTAGTGGAAGTGAAGAACATCATGGTCGTCATGGCAGACACCATGATAGTAGCGGAAGTGAAGAACATCATGGTCGACATGGCAGACACCATGACAGTAGCGAAAGTGAAGAGCATCATGGTCGACATGGCAGACACCATAACAGTAGCGGAAGTGAAGAACATCATGGTCGACATGACACTCACCACAACAGTGGCGGAAGTGAAGAACATCATGGTCGACATAACACTCACCACAACAGTAGCGGAAGTGAAGAACATCATGGTCGACATGACACTCACCCCAACAGTAGCGGAAGTCATGACCATATTAACAGCATGGAACGTCGTCACCAACATCACCCAGACCACGACAGTAAGTAAACATTGAACGTAACACAGACAACGTTTGGGAAATCTTCGTGGGTCTTATCTAGATCGCCATTTCCGAATATATCATACAGCAATTCTTTCACTACTAACGGGAAGGTAGTTCTTGAAAGGCATTAAGAAGTTGGACGAACATGGATATATGACACGTTTTATGAGTGAGTAAAAAAATTAAAGTCACGACACGTTTCATCGTTAACATTTTCTTTTTACTCTACACGACGTTTCAGCGCTAATTATTCTCTTTCAATGCTCATTCAACTGATAAAGGAGCAAGACTTAGCTCTGAATAAATTCGTATAAAGAATATAAAGAAGTTTTTCTCCATAAACCGTCATGCATTAACGGGAAGGTGGGCACCGTTGAGCTTAAGTGGTTGTTATCTATATACATTCTCTGTGACTCAAAAGGCTTGTCACCAAATTAAAAAAATTGTTCAACGATGTCATTTAATCATGAATAAGCAATTATTAACTAGGCATTCGATACTTTCAGGAACAAAATATAATATTGTACTGTAATGTCAGTGGGTTGTATATTGCATTAACTGTTCAAAACCTGCCCGATATGTTTCAGCCTACGTCTATGGTCGTTGTGATATGGCTATGAACCCAACACTGGTCGACTCACCGCACAACATCACTGGGGTGATCCTTTTCAGACAGAAGGTAATTTTGAAGTATGATATCGATGTATCAGATTGACGTTTCGCTCATTTGAGAATTGTTCAAACCATCTTAGGGGTAAATGATCGTGGAATTAAATTGATGCGTGCCAGAAATATTCTTAAACATGTAACGGCTCACTCTATGAACGTTGATTTATATACCGAACCACAAAAGAAATGACGAAATGTCGCACCGATAGCGGTTTCTATAGCACACACTTTAATTCACTCTAACTAACAATCAAAACGGAGGATTGAGTTCAAACTTGACAATTATGGTTAACACATTTTTGGGAATAACATTTAGAGTTCACTCAAGCAAAATCACCAAAAATGGTACCATTAAGTTACGCCAAAGTCAGTATTGTGTGTGGCCTCATGGGCATCGATGAAAGCGTTGCATCGTCTGTACATGGAATGAATAATCCGGTTGACGAAGGCCATAGGCACTTGGGTCCATACATGTACTCTGCGAAATGCCTGATCGAGTCCTGCCGCAGTTGTCGGCCTTGGCTGGAGGTCTTTCAGTTTTCTTTTGAATATTGTCCCAAAGGTGTTCTATTGGACTTAAATCCGGACTGAGTCCAATGTTGCTCTGGCAGTGTGGGCACGTTTGTTGTCTTGCTGGAAGATGTGATTTCTGTAACATCCAAACTGGTACAACGGTACAATCATAATAAAAACACCACCTTGTAAGAACCCAATTTAGCATTTGATTCTGAAAGGAGACGTTTCTTTTGTGGTTCAGTATATATACTGCTAATACATATATACACATAGAACTTCGTTAAGCACCCCCTGACATATTTCACGATTGAATGAGCCCCGATCTTAACCCTTTGGAGCATATGATTGGTCGTCGTCAGAGGTTCAGGAGGCCGACAGTTGGAATGAGGAGGAGTGTGCGGGCTTTCATACAGTCACATGGAGGTTACGCTCGGTATTGACCTTGAATCGTGTAAGACACACAAAATGACATTTTGAATGTTCACATTCATCAATAAATCAAACATTAAACATTCCAGGATCACACTTGTACAGATATGGTTTTGTATGAAAATCAGTGTTATTTTAGAATGGGCAATTATCACAATAAAATCAACATGGATTCATCATTTCGTCGTTTTTCATGAGTCAATGGATAAAAAATGGAGTTTTATGGATCATACAGGTCAGAAAAACTCCATCGAGGTCACCACCAGAAGTTTTATGTACGTGTTGAAAACCTATCATTGCAAAAATAGAGGCGGTGCTTAATTAAGCTCTTTGTGTATATTTATATATATATAAATAAGCCGCAAGTGTGCTGTTTGTCGTAATCTTAAGCACATTTCTCAACTACTTCTGGGGCGGTGGGGCAGCCTAGTGGTTAAAGCGTCCACTCGTCACGCCGACGGCCCGGGTTCGATTCCCCACATGGGTAGATTGTGTGAAGCCCATTTCTGGTGTCCCCCGCCGTGATATTGCAGGAATATTGCTAAAAGCGGCGTAAAACTAAACTCAGTAACTGAACTGCTTCTGACATCAATGACCTAAAACGTCCGAAAAATATCATTTTACGGACGCTTCATGTCGGGGTCATGCGACTGACGATATTCCCTTGAAGACTACTAAAGAGAGTGAGTGTGTTGAAATATTTAATGCGAATCGGCATTATTCCAGTTATGTAGCCACGTGACCAACTCTACATCCATACACAAGTACATTTAGTGCAAAGTTATATTTCAAACGAATTTCTTTACACACCGGATTAGGACAAGATCGAGTTTGTTCAATTGGCAGGAGTTTTTCTTAGGCTAAATGTAGGTCTAGTCCAGTGAGTTAGTAAATGAGTGAGCTTAGGTTTACGCCGCAATCAGCAATATTCCAGCTATATGGCGGAGGTCTGTAAATAATCGAGTCTAGACCAGACAATGATCAACAATATGAGCATCGATCTACACAACTGTTTTGATAGGATGACATGTGTCTACCAAGTCAGTAAGAGTGACCATTCGATCCCGTTAGTCGCCTCTTACGACAAGCATCTTCACGGCTCTATTCCAAAGAGGTTTCAAAGCATCATTTTACATGAAGTCCTCAATGTTTCTGAAACCGAAACCATATGAAGCATAGCGAAGACGGTAATACATTATTGAGAATTTAAAGATTGTATTTTTTATTTACAGACAGACAGACAGATTTATTTTCAGTGTACAAGGCCATGGCCCACATTACAGAATATTTTTACATTTGGTTTGATGCTGGTAAAACCAGTAATGGTCATACATTATTGCCTCTGAAAGCTGTGAAAACATTTGTGTACAATGTACAGGCATAATATACCCTACTAAAGAAAAAGTAGCAACACTTATCAAAACATCATCCTTAGATGACACAAGTCTAACAAGACTATCTCTACACGGGTTACCAATATATAGGTAAGGTGGAAAACATTCTATCTTATGCATTTTTTAAACATTGACAGTTTAAATGGTATTCATCTTCAACTACTGGTATAGCAATATAAACAGTCTATTACAGTACAGTGTATTATGCCTCCCTGTTACAGTTGGAGGTTGGAAGCTATTATATCTGGACTGGCTTAAAACATGTTTATAATACTGTAGAATATATCTTTCAATTTACACAAGTGTCATAAAGTGACAGTATGTTGTAATTTGCTTTATAAAGTGTCTGACATATTTGCACAGTGTATAGGCATAACATATCTAAGAAATAACATATAGATCTTAATGTGTAGAATATTGACTGAGATTTATGCATTTCTACTTTTACGAGCCTTCATCAGAAACTTAGCAATACTTGTCAAAACATTTTCATCCTTACATGACATAAGTCTTGCAAAACTTTCCCTATCCGGGTTTCTAATATAGGTATGGTGGAAACATTCAATTCTTGCATCTTTATAGCATTGACAAACCATCAATAGGTGGTATTCATCTTCAACTTGTAAAACCAGTAAAATCAGTAATAGTCATACATTATTGCCTCTGAAAGCTATGAAAACATTTTTGCACAATGTACAGGCATAATATACCCTACTAAAGAAAAAGTAGCAACACTTATCAAAACATCATCCTTAGATGACACAAGTCTAACAAGACTATCTTTACACGGGTTACCAATATATAGGTAAGGTGGAAAACATTCTATCTTATGCATTTTTTAAACATTGACAGTTTAAATGGTATTCATCTTCAACTACTGGTATAGCAATATAAACAGTCTATTACAGTACAGTGTATTATGCCCCCCTGTTACAGTTGGGGGTTGGAAGCTATTATATCTGGACTGGCTTAAAACATGTTTATAATACTGTAGAATATATCTAAGGAAATATATCTTTCAATTTGCACAAGTGTCATAAAGTGACAGTATGTTGTAATTTGCTTTATAAAGTGTCAGACATATTTGCACAGTGTATAGGCATAACATATCTAAGAAATAACATATAGATCTTAATGTGTAGAATATTGACTGAGATTTATGCATTTCAAATTTTCCGAGCCTTCATCAGAAACTTAGCAATACTTGTCAAAACATGTTCATCCTTACATGACATAAGTCTTGCAAAACTTTCCCTATCCGGGTTTCTAATATAGGTATGGTGGAAACATTCAATTCTTGCATCTTTATAGCATTGACAAACCATCGATAGGTGGTATTCATCTTCAACTAATGACATGCCTTTGCTTTGACAATATAAACAAATTCTATTACAGTACAGTGTATTATTATGCCTCCCTGTTTCAATGGCAAGTTTGAAGTTATTACATCTGAACTGGCTTCAAACATGCTTGTAACACCATGGAATGTCTAAGGACAGATATCTTTCAACTTGCAAAATTGTCTCAAATTGACAGTATGTCTGACATTTGCTCATAAGTGAAATAGTATGATGCCAATCTTGGTTCAAACAATCAGACAATCTCTGCTTATAAAGTGGGATAAACATTTTTACATTTCCTATGTCTTGGCTTATCCATAGAATACCAAAACCAAATTGAAATAAAATATTTCTGATATGCGATGCCCATGTAATTCTCCCTACACCATCAAGTGTCTTAAGCATACAATAAGCTTGATAAGGCATTCTATTGTTATCCATCATAATCAACTTACACCAATATTTAACTGATTTTAACATGTAATTATACTGAAGGGGAACTCTGCCACATTCACCCAATGCCATAACGTTACATGTATATTTATTCAGCCTCAATACCCTCTTGCATAACTGTGTTTGTACTCTTTCAATAATTTGTGAATAGTGAACACTACATACCTCTGCTCCATAAGTAACTTTAGGTAAAATCATTGTGTCAAAAACCTTAAATACATCAGTACAAGAGACTAATCCATATTGATATTGGTACCCATAGAATGCCATTAAGGCTTTATTTGCCTGAGATGCTAAACAACTCTGTGCCCTAGTCCATGATAGAGTAGGAGTAAACACAACACCAAGATATCTATAATTATTAACAGTCTCTATTTTGTTGCCCTTATAGTACCATTTTTCATACGATCTGAGGGGACCACCTCTACGAAACACCATGATTTTAATTTTGCTTATGTTTATCCTCATTCCTGTCTCATCACAGAACCTTTCCAGAACATTTACCTTCCTTTGGAGTTGAGCAGCAGTATCACTAACACCAGAAATACCATCCGCAAAAAATAGTGCAACCACGTTTAGAAACTCTTGAGTCATGAAAATACCATTTCCACCTTTCTCCTCAAGCATCACTGATAAGCGGTTTATGAAAATGATAAATATTATAGGACTTAAAATGCAGCCTTGCCTAGTTCCGATATTACACTTGATAAACTCTGTTATTCCACTGGGTGTTCTGACACAGGATGCAAGAGATGAATACATGGAAATCAGGAATTTAAGAAATCTATCTTTAACACCGATATCATATAAACTCTGAAACAGAACTCTATGATTTATACAATCAAACGCCTTGCTAAAATCAATGAATATACAATAGAACCTACAATTTTCTTGGAGAGATGCTTTTGAATCATTGCTTGCAAGGAAAATATCTGGTCAACAGTTGAGTAATTTGGTCTGAAACCAGCTTGTAACTCCGAAATAATATTTCTCTTATCACACCAAGTTCTCAACCTCTTATCTAAAACAGCAGCAAGGGTTTTACATAGAGTGTCTATTAGTGAAATCCCTCTATAATTATCAACACTCTTTCTATCTCGAGACTTATGTAATGGACAGATAATGCTTTTACCCCATTGAGATGGAAATACACCACTATCAAACAAAGTATTAAAGACTTGTGTCAACAAAGGAACAATATATAGTTTAGTGCTTTTCAGAAGTTCACTTGGAATGCCATCCTACCCCGGTGATTTACCTTGCTTAAGATTTGACAGACTCAACTCAATTTCAGCCTCAGTAAAAGGAGTGTTCAGTTCTTCCACAACATCAACACCAATGTCATCACCCAAATCAGAACATAAGGTAACCTGTTCAAAACAAGGATGAGAAGTCTCATCTATATAAGAAATAATATCATCGGTATTGTCAGCAGAACGTACATGTAACAATTTCTCAAAATGAGTTTGTTTGGTCCAGAATTTCAGTGTTTTAGGAAACAGCCACTCAGAACTTTCATCTGAGAAAATCACATTGTCCCAGTTAAATTTTCTATGCTGTAAGCACCAGTTCAACCTTCGCTCGTTTTGTTCAGGTTTCATGATCGGTGATGGAATTCTTCGACTTTTCTGCCAAACCCATTGCATGCAAATCAGTTCTAATTGTCTCCTTACAGACTCCTGTCACCGACAGTCAATTTTCTGGGCCTATCTGCGCCTCCCTGGTGCTCAATGCCATATCCATTTGCAATATTTTTCAAAACACGATAAACAGTGGATAAAGGGATGCTGTTCTACTTGAAATCACTTTAGCTGATCTGATGTCCTTGTTATAATACTCTAAAATCAACTTCCTCTTCTCTAAATCATCCATACTGAGGATCACTGAAAATGTCGTCTGCTAGCAAGTAAATAAGGGGGGATAACTCTTCACAAACTAATGAAACCAAACACTTGATGGCTGGTCAAGGTTGTTTATACTTGAAATCCAATTAAACATTTTCCTAAAATTCTCAATAATTTCTGGTCATACTATACTATCAATTCGTTTTGTTGGTCTGTTGCTGAACGCCGTACTCAGCAATATTCCACCTATATGGCGGCGGCCTGGAAATAATCGAGTCAATCAGACAACCCAGTGATCTTGAGCATCTGTCTATGAAATGAGGATACGATGAAACATATTGTCGACAGCTTGATCGTTTACGGTTTAGTCCCACAAACGATACACTGGAAACTTTTGTACGAGTGGCAGTGGGATAGCCTAATGGTTAAAGCGTTCGCCCATCACTCCGAAGACCCGGGTTCGACCATGGGTACAATGTGTGAAGCCTATTTCTGGTGTCCCCTGCCGTGATATTGTTGGAATATTGATAAAAAAGCAGCATTAAACCAAACTCACTAACTTTGGTACGAGTGTCAGCCAATCAGAGGAAAGCAGAATTTTCACAGATTCATTTAAAAAATACATTGTCTTTGGTGATTTGTGAACCATAGTATACATATCACAAACATGGGCTGCTAAAGATGAGATCTAACCCGGATCTTCACGGGTATCATGTCGTTTAAGATCCTGTGTTGGTGTTTGACAGCTTCCATTTATTCATTTAAGGATTGACTGTGTATTTCTTTCGTTGCATTGAGGTATGAAACTAAAAACAATGTGCAAACTGTATGCGGATTCATACAGTTTGCACATTGGTTTTTAGTTTCATACCTCAATGCAACGAAAGAAATACACAGTCAATCCTTATAATTAAATTCAACAACAAATACTATAGGCTTTCAACAATATTTTATTTAAACACAATCAAATTCATCGAAACAGATATCTTTGCTACCACCGATTAACATTTTCGGTGTAAGAATTCGGTAATGGCGTGACCTGACTCAGGTGACTCATTTACATAAAATGACACGCCTACCAAACCATTAGCCAATCAGCATAGAGCACCCCCAAACAGCTGTCAATCAACCAAGCTAACATCGGGTGGCGAATCAGAGCGGAACAACACAACGTGACGCGTTCCGGTAACGGCAAAGTTTCAAGTTCAAACATTTGAATTATTACCAGCGAACTGAAAGACACAGTTTGAAAAGTGAGAATTGGAAACGAAGCCCGATGACATGAAGTTAGTGGAACTGAGATTGTTAGTGGCAGCAGTATTTGCGCAAGTGGAAAGGGGCTGTGATGTGACTGGGATTGCGATGCCATGAACTGATGTTCCAACGTGCGCATGCTCTTGTCGAGGCGTTACAATGGCGGAAAGCGTCTCGCTAATTCTTAGTTTTTGAGTAGTCGTTGTGTGGCGACTATAACTACGCACGGAACTTTCATTCCTATGGCCACTCATAAACATTATGTGACGAGGTTCAAAGCCAGCGTCACTCATGGCTTGGATTGCTGTGGCGCGAAGGCAATGAGCAGTGTATGACTGACTACATTAGGCATATTACGACATATGTCAGACATGAAACGAGTGAACTGGTATTTTTTGACTGGGGTTGCTGTATACCAAATGTTGTGTGCGTCTGGGGAACAAAGTGCATCTTTATTACAGTGCGAAAAAAGTGATCCGGCATTTGGGTCACTTTTGTCAAGGAGCTGGCGAAGTGCATTGACGGGACATTGGTTTATATCATTCGTCGCGTACATTCGTTTGTCGCTTTGCGCTTCATCGCTGTTGAGACCACCCTGGATGTTTTTTTGTTTCGTTTCGCGGGACAGTGTGACATATTCAACATTGCTATCATCTACCGCAAATTCAAAGGATGTGGGCGTAAGCTGCTGGTGAAATTCAAGACCACGACTTACAAAATGGATGGCCACGTCGTACCATACTTTGTACCGGAGGATAACAGGATTGGATGCCGAATGCAGATAAGTGCTAATTTTCATCAGATCACTTGTTTCAATGATTGATTTATGTTGTGTGGGACGTGACAAGCCATGTTGTACATTGTACTTTAATTTAGCATCAAGCATATCATTTGCAGACTTAAACTGCTTATCTCTTACAATGTAAATATCTCTCCCGATGTCATTTAAGTGTCTTTTCAGGGCAGAACGAACATTTTTTAAAGTGTTCTTGTGATACTCGGCAGCATGTGCAGCCGGCATATTTTCACATCTTGTTTCCTGGTTTTTAGGCTGTGCCTCAGTGTAGAAATATCTCCACTTTGTGTTAAGTTCCTCTGGTGTAATTGTTGAAAAATCCACAGTCCGCCCCTCGCTCTCGAACGACCAATCTAAATAAACAGAACGAAAACAATATCCAGAAACCTGACTATGACAGACCCAACTATGTAAACTTTGAACTAGGTAACTTTATAGCAAATCATTTTTCTCGGTTAGATCTACATAATTTAATCTCATTCTGATAATTGTTCCATTTTTAAAAATACAACTTTGTGCTGATGAACTGTTTCGTTTGAGAAAATATACGTAGGATGGAATTTGAAAATAATATTTATATGAATTGTGTATATCTACCTTGGAATAGTTTAACACCCCATTTTGTGTTTCTTTTTGTGGATGTTGATTGTCTGTAGTCGAGCATTCGAAGTAAATCATTATTTGATAAACGTTTGAAACGATGTGTTTGGGATGGCTTATCATCGACTTGCATTGCATACGTCATCTCGTGATTTGCCGATGTTTTTGTAGATCTGGTTGATGCTGTTATCTCTAACAAGCTTTCAATTTCTTTCAGGTCTAAATCATCCGGAAAATCAATGTTATCCGTGCTAAGAGTTGCAACGTTTCCGGTAGATTGATCTTCGAAAATCGACTCAAAATTCCCTAGATCAAAACTTCCGTACTTGGAATCGGCCATCTTGTTGGAATGTAAACAGACAAGTTGCAAACGACTGTTTGCTGACTACACGTGGTAACCACAGTAACCAGTCAAATAATGTATTATGACAAACACCTTTTTATTAAATAAACACGTTTTTAACGTTCACGGATAATTTTGAGTTGTTTGTTTATGTTAACCACAATGTATCACTCCAATGTTTATCCAAAGTTCATTAAGGTACCCGAGTGCAAGGGAATTCCCTTGCTGTGTAAAGGTATTTCCCGACATTCCTCAGGTCCGAAAGTAGTCCGGTTCGGTGTGCGTGGCTTATTTTTTTAGATTCATTGGGAAATGAAATCAAAAGAAATGTTCCCAGTTAACCTATCAGATTGCCAGAATTTTAATGAACACAATAAAAATGTAATTATAACATATATTGTTATCATTAATTTATTATATGTCGCTTTATGGTCAGGTACACAAGCCTCTGGAAGTGCTCATCGATCTTGAAGGATTCAGCATGGCATCTATGAGTAACCATGACATACAGGAACATGGTTTCCACGTGCATCAGTTTGGTGACCTTACTGATGGATGTCAATCATTCGGAGGTCACTTTGACCCTGATGACGTCACTCACGGCAGTCCACACTCAGACCAAAGGTTGGCATTCATTTTTCTATGGGGAATTCTCATTCAATTCTCGTATCAAATCAACAGGTGGACGACGACCACCACCACCACCACCACCACCACCACCACCACCACCACCACTACTACTACTACTACTACTACTACTACTACTACTACTACTACTACTACTACTACTACTACCCATGGAGATCGTGAATTCTCGCCATCTAACATTCTCGCGCCTTTGGCATATTTAGATCTTTTCCAAAGAACGCGAGAATGCCCCTTAAGGTATTCCACAGTTAGGGCCTGCAAATGAAGACTGATCCCCATGATCTGGTCCCCAAAAATACTGTCGACTCCAGTCAGTGTCCGTAGCCTCAGGTAGTATTCTATAGTGTATTACTCAACCTTCGATATTAAGAGTTTGAGTGTGAGTGAGTGAGTTTCGTTTTACGCCGCACTAAGCAATAATTAAGCTTTATGACGGCGGTCTGTAAATAATCGAGTCTGGACCAGACAATCCAGTGATCAACAGCATGAGCATCGATCTACGCAAATGGGATAGGATGACCTGTGTCAGCAAGCCTGACCACCCGATCCCATTTGTCGCCTCTTACTATAAGCATGGGTTACTGAAGATCAATTCTAACCCGGATCTTCACGGGTCTTAGAATTTTGAAACTTTGATATTTGTGTTTGCTTCTGTGGAGTGAACTTTTCTTTCAAGTGAATCATATTTGATGTATTCAACAGACATAGACATGCCGGTGACTGGGGAAACATTGTTTGTGACAACGAGGGTAAAGTACACAGAAACCTGACGGACCACAACAGCAACCTTGTCGGATTCCACTCCATCATCGGCAGAGGCATTGTGGTCAGTATGGCCCGAATAGTCATCCCCTTCCCCCTACCACACACCACTCACAACTTCGCTTTCTGTCTCAGTGTGTGTGTGTGTGTGTGTGTGTGTGTGTGTCCAACTCAGTCTGTGTCTTCCTGTCACACTCTCTCGCCGATTTCCCCCCTTTCTCTCTGTCTCTCTCCACTTCCTTCGTCCTGTCACGCTCTCTCTCTGATTCCCTCCCAATCTCCTCTTCTTTATCTGTCTCTCTCCACTTCTTTCTTCCTGTCACGCTCTCTCTCCGATTCCCCCTCTTCTCTCTCTCTGTCTCTCCCCACTTCTTCCTTCCTGTCACGCGAACTCTTTTCTTTCTGTCTCTCTCCACTTCTTTCGTCCTGTCACGCTCTCTCTCTGACGTTCAGATGTAGATTCTTACACCTTATCAAGCTAAAAGTGACTATACAACCGAGTGTCGAACACATTTAGTCAAAAGGCTAGGTTTTCAACGGTATAAAGAGTCTAGTCAAAATGAAAGCTCATGGCATTACATAATTAATGAAAGTACTGTAAGTCCCCATGGTCCCTACTATGGTGATCTACCTTCAGTTGTTGGCAATCTATAGCCCGGTTTTATATTGTATTGTCAACTATAGTTAAACTGTTTTAGATTTAATTACTAGTTTTAAATTATACTCTGTGATAATCTAGTTATTTTACTGTCCTTCGTAGGCAGGCTTTTATAATTTACTATTACTTACTATGTGTACCAATTAATTGTTCTCGTCACGATATGGCTGAAATATTGCCGATGTGACGATGAATTTTAACTCACTCACTCACATAATTAATGCGTATAAGTATTCGTATGTATCAAGTGTCCACGGTCAGGAAAGTTACTTTACCGTCTCCTCTGCTCCTCTTAGATCCACGCACACAAGGATGACCTTGGCCTCGGCGGTGTCCCCGCTAGTCTGAAGACCGGAAACGCGGGACCAAGACTCGCTTGTTGTCCCATAGTGTCGTCCAAAGGCGTCGATTGGGAGGGAGCCCAAGGCTGAACTCATTCCACAAATTCTCTTTGCTGGACAAGTATTGTCTTCGGAAAACGTCAAATAAATAAAGTACTGCATGTGAAATTGTAACTGTTAAATCCGAAATATCAGCAAAATATGTATTATATTGCTATACATAAGTAGGACAAGAAAAGTTCAGGAAAGTGACGTTGGGTATTATTGAAAGTATGAATACACAAAGCCGCTTAGAGAGATCTAACCCACTCCGACACCGCGGTGTGTGTTCGAATCCCGAATGACACTCAAACTCCGAAAGTAACAGGATCTCTACTTTACGGAGAAAGTGTTATCCAAGCCATAACATATAACATATGTAAAGCATGTATTGTAGTGTTGTATTATGTCATCAATGTTAAAGTGATGTGTGGGATAGTGTTGACACTTTTCATGTTGACAGAGGTATCGAGGCCGAGGCAACATTTTGTCCATGATGTCACAGTTATATATCCAGTTTTGTATGCATAGTGTGTTGTTCTGGTATAGAAATCGTATGGATTTAAGACAAATAAAAATTGGTGGATATTTTGTTATGTTGTACAGAACGTCACTGCGAGATATCTGACTAGGTAGTACCGGTAGAGTAGGACCTGTTCATCCTTTTTTTCGCGGACACCCGGTGTCATCACTCATTTTCGGTATGTATTAGTACCGGTAGAGTACGACCTGTTCATCCTTTTTGTCGCGACACAGAGTGCGATTACTGATTTTAGGTGATCCACTCGGGTGTTCTTATCCTCTAATTTGCCCTTTACTTCGTTTGATGCTCGTGATATCAACTACAGGTTGATGCTGCTCGTGCTTACATTTCCATGAACCATATGATGCATCACAATTATTATGACGTATGTGTAGAATAGAAGTAAGATATGATGTACCATGAAGCATTTTCACGTGTATCATGTTGAGGTGCACAATTGACTTGCCTTTGCATGTGTTTGTGACGGAAGTCACCGGTGCGCCGGGATAAGCTAATATTTTCGCGAACATCTGGTATTATTACAATTTGTAGTGATTCATAAAGATGTGCAGCTCTAAAGTATCGTGTGAGACGGTATCCCTTTATCATGATAGATTACTTATGACTTTGGAAAAGCTTTCTGTGAAGCTCTTATCGCTGACATTCAACAACTCCGTGTTAATCATTATGAATCCATCGGAAACGTTATACTAGAAAAGGTAAAAAAAAGCTCATTGCAGGGATTCATTGCAGAATCGACGTTTGTGCACCAAGGCGACTAGCGACAATACATATCCATTTATCATCGAGAAGGTTTGCCGAAAGCAGAATCCATTGTACTATTCCCAGTAAAACATAATCGCGTTCATGAAGGACAAAAGCACACACCTACACACACTCGCACACACACGCCCATTATATATACTTATCAGTCAAACTGTTGTCATCTTTCATCTCAACATCTGCTGAGTACGGCAGCTTTTAAGGGCCACTTGTATAGCTTATTCAAGTGAGTGAGTGAGTTGGATTTTACGCCGCTTTTAGCAAATATTTCAGCAATAATTAAGGCGGGTGACACCAGAAATGTTCACACAATGTAGCCATATGGGAAATCGAACCCGGGTCTTTGGCATGACGAGCGAACGTTTAACCACTGGACTACAACACCGCCCCTTTTGTTTAAGTAAATGTAATGGACGAACAAACATACACTATACGAATACCTTTCGAAGCTTACATACCAATATATTCGGAGAAAGCATCGTGAAACTTCAACAGAAGGTGAAATAGCAAGATTGTTCCTTGAAATTTCAAGTATATAATCTTAAAATTTCAAGTTCAAATCTTTCATCTTAACATGCTGAAGCTTATGCTCTCGATGTCAAGGCTGGTGACTGAGCACGGTTTTGAACAAATTAAAGGTACCATATCATACCACACTTCTCTTAAAATAGATAATTCATTTGTACTCTCAATAATACCAACTATCAGCCCTCGGGGAAGCTACCATATAATCTATTCCAAGTACGTATTTATATTACAATATTAAATGAAAAAGTTCGAATGAATTAATGCAACGTTGCATTAAATCGACTTCCGCGCCCTCTACCAACCGAACATTATTGCAAGCGAACCCCAAAGAGTTATGTCCCATGGAGCGCTCTTCACGATTATCCTACGCACAACTCGTCATTGAAACACCGACAACACTGCGTGCGACAGTTTTCGATATATGGAGCAGTTGTTTACAGTTCTCTGTTGGAAGCTGTTCGCCACGAAGTTTCAACTATCGATTTCAAGCAAGTCGTAAGGGATATTATGTCTTTTATTGTATCAGTTTAAGCCAAAGTTAGTGCATACGCCCCGATATGTATAATATAGGCCAAATGTTGTCGAAAATGTGTGACATTGTGCCTCTAAAGTAAATTAAAATTGCTACCTTTTGTAGGCTTGGCTAAATAAATGAATGTTCAGGTTATGTATTCTTCCTGTACATTGGATACTTTTACTGTCGACGATAAAAGAAGCAAAGTACGCATGCGGATCCAGAGGGGAGTTCATGGGTTCGCCCCTTCTGAAAAAAACCACATTGAAATTTTTTTTGCGTTGGCGGAGCCAATAGGGTTGGGGTGGAGGTCACGGTTCAGGGTGTTCGAACCCCCTGAACCCCAACCTTTCAAAATTCCTGGATCCGCCGATGAACATTCAATTATTTTGGTTTCGTCTTATCATTTGGAGATAAACATATTGTGATATCATTGAAGTGCTAGGTTATTGAAACAAGTCTAAAAAAATATAATTTGGACTCTCTTATATCATTACAAAATATTGCCTTTATAAACATTGGCATAATATTTAAGAAACTAAAGCATAGTTTCAATGGACGCTTGATTGTGACAATGAATTTCATTCTGTTAAAAGTAAAAGCAAAACACGACTGATTCCTGATGACTTTTGGTCGTTGATACTATTTGTAGAACAGAGTAACGTGCGGGAATCCGAATCGATCGTGTTTTCTTGTTTGTAACTTTTGAAAAACATTGTTGAACGTTTAGATAAATTGTCTGTTTGTTTTCTGCCGCTTAACGCAGCACTCAGCAATATTCCAGCTATATGGCGTCGGTCTGTAAATAATCGAGAATGGATCAGACAATCCAGTGATCAACAGCATGAGCATCGATCTACGCAATTGGGATACGATGACGTGTGTCAACCAAGTCAGCGAGCCTGACCACCCGCCAGTCGCCTCGAACGACAAGCATGGGTTACTGAAGACCTATTCTAACCCGTCACGGGTATGGTTGGAAATAGAAATAAATATATATTTTCTGCGCAATAGGCAATCAGATAAACACAACCAACTACAGATGACATACCAAGACATGTCAAGAACAGTTTATAATTGAAGTAATCCATACGGTCTTTATCTTCAGCAGCTGATATCAGTCGCAGCAAACGTGTATCGGCTTGACATATTAGTTACAGTCACAAGACTTCGTACTGGACCTCAGTGACACACAGTCTTCCGTCCTTTGTTTGACCTACCATCAAGACTGTGTGCTGGTCAACGCATCTGCAGATACTGTTCGAAAGATTCTTGGCTTATAAGAAGTCACTTTTCGAGTTTTGATCTTGGGAGAAAGTTTCGTGTGGAACATGTGGAAGATTGGTGTTGTAGTCGTAGTGGTGCTCCTTGGGGTGATGATGGAGACAGATGCCAAGAAGCCCAGGAGGAGGAAACCACAGAAACCGGGACCTGATGCAGGTGTGTACAAATGATTCTGAACAAATATATTTAGGGTGGTCATACACATGTAATTTGGAGGTAAAGGTCTTTTTTCATTGTAGGGCGACATGACCTTGGTCTGTAGATTTAAATTCTAAGAATTTGAAACTGAATGAGTGAGTGGGTGGGTGAGTGAGTGTGGTTTTACGCCGCTTTTAGCAATTTTTGGCAATATCACGGCGGGAGACACCAGAAATAGGCTTCACATATTGTTCCCACGTTAGGAATCGAACCCGGGTCTTCGGAGTGACGAGCGAATGCTTTAACCACGAGGCTACCCTACCGGCAATGAAACTGAATGAAAGGAGGTATTTTCTATATATATTTGTTGGTGTGTTGCGTCTATCAAATCATCTCTTTAAATGAGAGGTGGTTATTCAAAATGCGATATTTTCTAAACTGGTATTAGAAATAGATTGTTGTTATTTGAAAAGAATGCGAACAGCCAATCGGGCCAGGTTATAATAACCATTTCATTGTGTCCAGTCGTGATCTTTGAAACGCTAGTAAATGTGTATGTGGTTCAAAACTTCAAACCATCTTATCAGTCAGAAGGTGAGGTGAGGTGAAATTGGGTTTAACGTCGTGCTTGAGAATATTTCGCTCATATGACGACGTGCATGCGTGTGTATGTGTATGTGCGGCTGCTTGTACCAGCCCAGACTTAAGCTGGTTTTATAGTGCTAGCTCACTGAGATACCATGCCGCAGTGAAGCATGGATACCCCACTCAGACACAGTATACTGACTCCGAGCCGACCAGTCCTTGTTGTACTCATTAATGCCGAGCGCCAGGCAGGGACCAACAAGTACCATATTTTAACGTCTTTTGGTATGACGCAGTCGGGGATCGAACCCGCGACCTTCCGCTCTCCTAATGGACGCTCTAACCACTACACCACGGAGGCGGCCATCAGTCAGAAGACCTTCTACTCACTTGATAATTTAGCCTATTGTGTTTTCAATTTACGGGTTTCGAATGTTCTGATATTAGAAGGCTGTGAACTGAAACTAATGTTTACATCCAATCTACCATGACAGAGTCAGGCGAAAGGAGGGTTCGCACAAACTTCTCATCTGATGGTCATGATTCCTACACGGTGTCATTTTACTGCTTAATAGACCCACTCCTCAACATGATCGAGTCAGTTTGGTTTTACGCCGCTTTTAGTAATATTGCAGCAATATCACGGCGGGGGACACCGGAGATGTGGAGAATCGAACCCGGGTCTTCGGCGTGTCTAGCGAACACTTTAACCATTAGGCCCACCACCCCTTCTTTAAAATGTGTTCGATATTGTAGACGTCAGAAGATTCCTTTCAAACCTATTGGACAGACAGACAGACAGACAGACAAACAGAGAGCCATTTTACTCATTAAAGTACCTTTCTTAGATAAGGTACCGACAATTATGATTGAAAAGTTTATATCTGAACACAGTTTATGCTACGATGCACACGTCTAAGTCTGAGAGAGACTGTTCATTTCTGACGTTTATGTAAACATGTAATATATTAATGAATCAACACATAGCCTCTGTGTATTGAAAATATACATTTGTATTTTACCAGAACTTCAGTCACTAAAGACGAACATCTCCAGTCTGTGGACGGAGATGCACAAGAAGTTGGAATCACGTGTCATGGTCCACGTGCACGGAGATGGAGATGACTCTACAGAAACGCATAAAGGTCAGGATGGGACGCACGTGCATATTCATCTGCACGTGGATGACCATCATGGCGGGAATAGAGGTCATGACGACTATTTCGACCATTTCGAGGACGACTGTGACGACGACTATCACCATGAGAGCCATGAAGACAGTGAGGAAGGTCATGCTCATAATGACAGCCACGAAGGTCACGATCATCATGATAGCCACGAAGGTCACGATCATCATGATAGCCACGAAGGTCACGATCATCATGATGGCCACGAAGGTCATGGTCATCACGACAGTCACGAAGGTCAGGGTCATCGTGGGCATCGAAGAGGATGTCGAGGGAGAAAACATGACGGTAGGGCATATGTATCCTGAACATATTTTTCGTCTGTTTCTGTGTAGGCCTGTATCTTTCCACATTGAAACACCACGCTCAGATGGGCTTAATCAGCGATACGTTCGTAAAATCCACAACTAACTCTCTGAACACATCAGCCATCGAGAAAATCATCTCTGGTGTGACCCAAATAATTTGCTTGCCTGGGCTATATGTAAGGGCATAATTTTCTTTATGTGTTACACGTAGCCACCATTTCTGAACATGAAATCGGAAAAAACCCGACCCCATTTCCCCCCCCCCAAACTTTTCTATCTGAGTAATGTTCTTAATTCTCATTTATTGTTATTCTTATTAAAATTTCTCGCGTTCTTTGGACTTGTGGCAGCGTCTGATTATAAGAAAGTCTTATAATGCGCTAATCTCGACGCAACAAAGCACGCTCAAAGCGCTAACACCCTGATTATTGTTACCCCGGGTAACACAAGTTGCCTGTTAACCGCTAGAAGGTTATAGTCACATGATGAGAAACACCAAAAAATATAAATGCTACCCTAACCGGCACTACCGACGTGATGTAAACATCCTGGCTTGCTGTCGATAAACATGAAATGGCATGCTGATTGGAGTGGTATGCGCTTCTGAGCGGCGACGTTGCATACATGTACGTATGTGACAAAATCAGCCGTTTGCGTAAATATGAAGGAATCGCACTTTTGCTGGTATTCTGGAGAATTTGTTGACAGTCGCCATATTGGAACTATGTTTCCAAGCCATTGTATTATTATGCAGTGTGAAATATCGTGTGACTATATGTATGATTAAGAATAAATAAGACAAGTTTCTGGAAGACTAATCAACATTAAACACAGATGAAGAGTTTGCGTGGCACATATATCCAGAACACGTTATCCAGTTCTCACATTCACAGCCGAGATTTCTTTGTGGTTACGGAAAGGAGCGAGGTTGGCCGATTGAACAAATAACAGTTGTCAATCACGACTTCTCCATATTATTCATCTTTGGGAAGTTACCGAGTCTGATATATTTCAGAATACATATATGGACGCTGTAACATGGACATGCGCAATGAACCCGTCAAGTCCGGCCCCCCGTAACAACATCACCGGCGCTATCTACTTAAGACAAAAGGTGAGTGAGTGAACGAGTGAGTGAACTTTACGCCGCACTCAGCAATATTCCAGCGACGGTCTGTAAATAATCGAGTCTGGACCAGACAATCCAATGATCAACTGCATGAGCGTCGATCTACGCAATTGGGATATGGTGGCATGTGTTAACGAACCTGACCACCCGACCCATTAGTCACCTCTTACGACAAACATAGGTTACTGAAGATCAATTCTAACTGGGATCTTCACGGGTTAAGACAAAAGGCACGACAACTTGTTGATACAGTCGGGAATTACCGACACATCACGGTCAACGACCTTTGTTACATCGGTAGATGATAGTGCTGAGTCAGTAAAGTAAGTCAGCTGCCTCGGAGGCTGTTAATATTTTTAGTATCAGCCAGTAAGTGATTATTGCTTAACACCAGCTGAACAGTCTTGCAGCTATTCGCGAACTACTTATGGAAAACAAAATATGCACGTTTCGCCTTGAGCAGGCAATGTGCCTGGATATGAGCGCCATATATGACGCGGTGACGTGTCAACCAAGTCAGCGAGCCTGACCACCCGGTATTGTTGGTCGCCTCTTACGACCGATTTTTCTAACCCGGATCTTCACGGGTTTAAGAGGTGTAGTTTTCAGACGTTCTCTTTGGAAAATTCGTTTAATGGATACCAGTATATCACATACCTGTAGATTGACAAGTATGTTGCTAGGATTTTGCAGCAACGGTATCCCGAATTATCGCCTGCTTATTGTACGAACCAAAATAGCTGACCAATCGGTTTCGATCTGTGATCTGTCTGACCAGTTGTCACCAGTTTGAATCATTCGTTGGTTTCACATTAATTTTCGACTCGCTGTGCGCATGCGTAGAGCGTGTAAAAATATCCACTGGTCAACTTCCGGTTTGGTCGTATAACCGATAGTGTAAACACACTCTAAATAAAAGCTCTATGAAGATTAATTACGTGTGACAACTGTTCATAGTTGAGTACATACATCCATTTGCCTATGCTTTTCAATAATTCATGTCCTATTTTGGTGGCAACTGCATCAGAGATGTGTTCTTTTAGTTGTGAGAAGGGGATGTGCAGGAAGGACGGTGGACGGGTGGTGGTGAGATGTGTTTATACAAGAGCTTGTGAACAAACGTAAAGCTATTATTTACCTAATCCCGGTCCTTTCCATTCATAAATGAATTGAGATCAGTTAAATTCGACATAAACCATATATCTGTTTTGATTTTTGCTTTCTTTAGAGTGTGTTTACACTATCGGTAAAGCATACGACCAAACCGGAAGTTGTCCAGTGGATAGTTTATACACTCTCTGCGCATGCGCACAGCGAGTCGAAAAATAATGTGAAACCAACGAATTGGTAGGTGTCAACTGTTGGTTTGGTTGCAACAAATGGTAACAAACGTAATAGACTTGTGTTACGTGAATAAAAAATCATTTAATGCGGCATACAACTTCATTCAGTCGACCAGGCAGTTTAAAGCATGTTTCACTTGACAATGCATTTTCTTGCTGTTGTGAATCGGAAAGCAGGATCTAGTTGTGAACCGTATATTAAATGTATATTATGGATATTACAAATTTAATAAATCGAAACCCCGATCGTGATTTCTGGTTCACAAACATCTGACAAAGAGCATTTTCAGTCGTAATACTTACAGGAAATTGGAGTGTAACAATTTCAATGAGATTTCCTAATCTGTCTATCTGTCTTTGGCGGATTGTATTGATGATATCAACCACTGGTTTGTTTTATACACAGTTTCATGGGCCACTTGAGATATTGCTTCATCTGCGGGGATTCTACTTGCCTAGCGACCACAGTGACCATTCCGTTCACATGCATGGGTTCCACGTGCACGAATTTGGCGACTTCAGCAACGGCTGTACGTCCTCCAGCGGCCACTTTAACCCCTCAGGTGCTGCTCATGGGGGTCACGATGCAAAAACAAGGTATGTGACCTTTCACCACCATCTAAAAATGCCAGTGATGATAGGTTTGAAATGAAGCAATTTACAGGAATTTGACATGTGCAGTATCGAACCCATCATGTTAAAGAAGGAACGGTGGAATAGCCCAGTGGTTTGAGCGTCACGCCGAAGATCCGGGTTCGATTCTCCACATGGGATCACAAATTCTTTCCCAACTGTAATTCGCGTTCTTGTGCGTGGCAGACAAGCCTACTCGTTGGTTTTCTTATCAACACACTCGTACATTAGAGTTCCACCAAAGTTGAAAAGGTCTTTACCTTACAATACTTCAGACTTTCCTCATGGGTAAAGAGGACACGTTCAGACCCCTGAAATAATGTTCAGAGAGCTTTTAAGCTAAAATCATACTCACTGACAGCTATCAGCTACAGAAAAAAACTCTATTTTGTATTTTGCATGCCTCTATGGTTAGCTATATCGTTCACCCATCGCGATCCGGGTTGGAATTGGTCTTCAGCAAACCATGCTTGTCTTAAGAGGCGACTAACGGGATATCGGGATGGGGTTGTCAGACTCGCTGATTTGTTGGACACATGTCACGGTATTCAGTTGTGTAGATCGATGCTCATGCTGTTGATTACTGGATTGTCTGGCCCAGACTTGATTATTTACAAACCGCCGCCATATAGCTGCAATATTGCTGAGTGCGGCGCGAAGCAACGAACAAACGGAACAAAGAAAAACTTTATGATTACCCCGCGTTACCTCCCTCCCTCACTCATTAACTTGTGTACCCGTCCAGGTTAGAATATTGATCGTCAGAAACCCATGCTTGTCGTAAGAGGCGACTAACGGGATCGGGTGGTCAGGCTCGCTGACTTGGTTGTCACATGACATCGGTTCCATGCTCATGTTGTTGATCACTGGATTGTGTGGTCCAGACTCGATTATTTACAGACCGCCGCCATATGGCTGGCATATTGCTGAGTGCGGCGTAAAACTAAACTCACTCACTCGCTCATTAGGTTTTAATTGATGGTTGTACAGACATGCCGGTGACTGGGGAAACATATCTTGTGACGACGCCGGAGAAGTACACACAAACATGACAGACAGGTACTGCGACCTCTATGGACCCCGCTCCATCATCGGCAGAGGCCTCGTGGTAGGTGTAGTTCTGTAGGTTGAATGACATTGGATAACTGATTTCTTGTGCAGTTTGGTTGTACCTTGGCTGAAACGTCGCATGGACTAAAGGGAGGATCGGGAGAATCCATCATCGTCTTCCGAAAGTGTTGGTCGATGCTCATGGTATCCTCTTTTGGTCTTTAGCTTGATCACTCTTATATGAAAAATATAGTCACGCTTCCCCGCTAAAAACAAAACAAGATAAAACAACAAAAAACCAATACAAAAGAAAAAAACCCAAACAAATCAAAAACGAAAACAAAACAAAACAAGACAAAGAAAACATTAGTACACCAATGTTTAAATCCTGTTCCTCGGTACCTAGCCGTCTAAAGTATCGCAAACCGCTCTGCATCATCTGCAGTGTTCTATTGACGTGGTTTTGAATCCCGTCTTTGTCACAATTAGAACCCTCCACTGAAACGCCGTTATGTAAATGAAATTAATCTCCAATACCGTTTAATCAACTGATTTACCTGTCTCTCAGATCCACGAGACCGCGGACCACCTTGGACAAGCACCTGTGGGCAAGAAAGATGGGAGGACACGTAGGATATGGAAACGCATGTTGTACCATTGCCAGGATTGGCAAGGTCGACTGGGACATGCTCCTTCAACACAAGCACTAAAGGGAGAAGACATAGGTCCACTTTTGACAGACCTTGGGCCTGGAATAAGATTCCTCGAGGTCATCTGTGAGATCATTGCAACACAAAGATACTGATGTGTTTCAATACTAATGTCTCAGCGTCATTTTCTTTCATTGATTTATAGCCCTACTCCATTTCTATACCCTCTCTAGAATCAGTAGCTCGCTTTCCAAACGTATCAAGCTTTGTAAATATGCCTTTTCAAAACTGAAAGACATGTTTTTCCAAACCTTGGAATAAAAGAATTGCCGAGAATGGAATTGTTTCCAAGTTGTGGATAGGTATGAAGAACTAACACATTTGCTGGAAAAGGTGGGTCAACTTGTTTAGTGTTGGACTTATTATTCGTTGCATGTTCTTTTCAAGCTTGGAATAGTTGTTAACTGCAAACGGGCTTGTGAATGTATACGTATACTCGTTATGTGTAAATAACATAACAAACTGGGATGACCTGTGGCAAATTAGGTTTAAATTATGTCATTCGTGAATAATTCACTCGTGAATTGTTGCAGTAATGATATTAGGTGTGGACTCAATGGTGGAGCAATCCATACATGTTGTAAATGCTTTGCATGAAGGATGGGGCCTGTATTTTGGAATTGTGTGCTCTTGTATAAAAGGGCGGTGGGGTAGTCTAGTGGTTAAAGCGTCGGCTCGTCACGCCGAAGACCCGGGTTCGACTCCCCACATGGGCACAATGTGTGAAGCCAATTTCTGGTGTACCTCGCCGTGATATTGCTGGAATATTGATAAAAGCGGCGTAAAACCATACTCACTCACTCTTGTATAAAATCTTTGAAATAAAATCGTTTAAATAGAGTTTGTCTAATATTGTCACACAGCCATAGCAGAGATGGAATCCTTGCTCTATCGGATTTCAGACAAAGTTAACCTCATTGCAGATGGAAAAGGTGTCCAGCACCTAAGGTGATTTCGAATTCCATTATTTTGTTTATGAGTGATGATTTTCGCATGCTTCGAGAGCATATTTACAAAATTTGCAGAAGGAATACGGTGCTCTCAAACCACGGGCGAAACTTTGTGCCAATTTGAAATTCGAACCTTCAACCATCCGGGCAGTTAAGGGACACGGCGCAATGAACTGTGGCGTTTCATCAGATAACTCTTCTCATTTTAGATATGTTAAGCAGTTTCCGTTAAAACAGCTGACATTTGATGTAAATAGGAAGAGGTGTATAATTTATGATTGCGTTTCCCACATTCATTTTACATATATTGAAAGATAAAGATATTGAATAGAATTGACCCACAACAAACTAGGTTGGTCGTAACTGGATCCTATGATCAGGTTTGGTGACTTGGTTGATGGTATACCATCGTACCTTGACAACATGGATCGCAGTTCATAATATCGATCACTCACTTATCTGATTAAGACCTGATTATTTTCAGGCCTTCATCATTAAACATGACTGTTACCGAGCGCGACGTTAGACAACAGACAAACGAAACTAATAAAGAAACGTGTGTTCTAAATCTTTTTTAGATATCCTACCAAATGAGACTTCTATGAGACGCGTGATATACTTCTTATAACTATGAGAATAAGGTAAAGGTTAACCCGTGGTGTTGTGCATCACGTTGTATCACATCACAGGTCCTAATTGTCTTGTTGATACTTATATTTCGTAGAAGACAAATTATTATTGAGCTGGTAAGTAATACATTTTCAACGAATATTGTCGAGTACACTTGACTGGGGGCCATTTTATGCTGCTTTTAGCAAAGGATATATGACTTTGATCATGGTATCACCGGAATGACATGTCCTTGGAGAGGGGGTTTATAAATTGTAAGAACTTGTCCCCGATCCTTTTCACTTTGAGAATAAAATATGTTTAAACTAAACTAATGACATGTCCAGATTAGATTCGTTAATTCTTGTGTAGCTGGGATATAGTTTGCTGCCGGGCTAAACAAAAAATAACTTAATTAATAACATAATTCGTTTATGGTCAAGGTAAGGCTGTGGGCCAAATGATTAAAGCGTTCGATCGTGACACCGAAGACACGGTTCCCCACATGGTTACAATGTGTGAATCCTATTTCTCGTGTACCCCGCTGTGATATTGTTGGAATATAGCAGCTTAATGCCAATCTCATGCATGGTCCATGTTGCGAAAAAAATGATAATTTGTCAGTGAAAAGTGAAGCATAGTGGAACATATAGCTAACGCTTCTGTGTACAACCTGACTTCCGCCATGATTGGTTGAAGGTAACCTTCAAAGGCACCATCCGCGATTGATTCGGTTAAGATAACATCATGCTAACTAAGGACCAGGACCTAGATTTTCGAAGCTCTCTTAGCGCTAAGATAGTCGTAAGTGCCATACATTAGCATTAACTTACGACTATCTTAGCGCTAAGAGAGCTTCGAAAATCTAGGCCCAGGAGACTAAGCTCTCTTAGCGTTAAGATAGTCGTAAGTGCCATACATTAACATTAACTTACGACTATCTTAGCGCTAAGAGAGCTTCGAAAATCTAGGCCCCGGGCCCCGTTTCACAAAGCTCTCGTAGCGCTCCGACTGTCGTAAGTCAATGTTACAGTATAGGAGATACGAATGCTAAGAGAAAAGTTACGAGGCCCTGGATCACATTTGCCACGGGCGTTGTATGATAAATTAGTCGATTTTCCGTACGACTTTTTAATAATCGTGGATGACCGCGGGGTACGACGTTAGTGTGCACATTGTCGACGGGCATCGTGCGACTTCCTTGGGGACAGACCGAGACAAACCTGCATGGAGACTGCACAGAAATCTTACTGATATTATACGGAAGCCGCACGGTGATCGTGCGATAGCCGTGCGGATATCACTCGATCCTACGATCCTTGAGTTAAATAAAATCGTGTGTTTACCGCATGACACCTACGGGATACGGTCGTACGATTTCTTTCAAATTTGTCAAACTTCGCTGTTTGTCAAAATCGTAGAGGCAACGGCGCATGTAGAATCGTGCGATAATCGGACGGCCGCCGCCTGCCACCGCGCGGAAATGGAGCTACGGCAGTCTGTCTGGCAGTGTCTGTCTGGCAGATTACGGACGCCGTAGACCGATCGCAAGCCAAGTGTGCACCAGGCATAAACAACATGCGTCTTGGGTTTCAACAAACCGTTTAGAGTCTACTATCTTGGCCTTTCTTCGACATCGTAATGTTCATACTGGACATTTTCTTGAGTCATTAATTAACATGTTCGGAGCTTACAGTGAAAATTATTACAAACTCTGTTTGCTAGCGTTAAAACATTCCTCTGCATTTCTGATTGACATGGGAAATAATAGAAAAGCGCACACAAAGAACGATTTTGCAACAGCTCAGTATATTGGTGTCCGTGAAGCCCGAATTCATCCTAGCAGTGTCATCACGCGTCTGTAAACGTCGTGTTGGGGTTTATTGTAATGAAGTCTATAGCGACATCGTGGCCGATTGAGACCAAAACGTGTGTGTCTGTTATATTTGCTTGTCTGTTTGTGTCTTTGTTTATATGTGTGCTCGCGTTTATGTTTGGTGCGTTGTTTATTTGTTTATTGCTTTTGTCTGTATATGTGTGTGTATGTGTGTGTATGTTTGTGTTTGTGTGTGTCAACACAACGAGGTAATATTCCAGCTATATGGCGGCGGTCTGTGAACAATCTGGACCAGACAATCCAGTGACTGACATCAAGAGCAACGATCTACACAACTGGGATACGATGACATGTGTCAACCAAATCAGCAAACCTGACGACCCGATCCCATTACTCGCCTCTTACGACAAGCCTGGTTTGCTGAACATCAATTCTAACCCTGATCTTCACGGGTGCAACGAGGTATGAATGTTGCAGCATTGTCTCCCTTAGTCATGCTGAGTATCCGCTGACCATGGGTTCGATTTTGGTTTCTTAAAGGTCACATGCAACCAAAAAATCAAACATAATTAAAACACAATTATCACTTCTTCATGACATATAATATGCATAGCTGATTATGAAAAAAACAAATAAACAAAATTATAAGCGTATAATCGCAAATCAAAAGTGCAATATTTTGTACTTGGGTTTACCTCCCTCGAAACGAAGCAGCCGGGATACCGAACCCAGTCAGAGCAGGTGGGTGTGCACTCAAGTGTAACGGCTGGTTCATTAGCAGATGACGCCTTCACGGCTGATTGTGTGTGTATATATAGAGATGTTGGGTTTTGTAAATACATGCTCATTTTTTGTGTGTAACATTTTGCAATCAACAGACATCATAACATGTCATGTGTTCAAGTATCACACCTGCCTGTCTGTGTAATTACATAATGTGACAGAGACCGAACTCGGGCCATAAATCAATGCGTTTTGTTTATGGTGAAAAGCCTGATTGGTGTTAAGTTCAAATTGCATGTGGTCAGTGATCGCAGTTGTGTATTGAATATTGTCATTAGCAGACAGGCAGGCAGACACACAGGTGTCAATAAAACAAGACATTGAGTTTAGTCTGTGACAGCGACATATCTATATCACAGTTAGAAATTGTGTCAACGCTAAATAATGACATTGCTTTTAAGTATCGAACTGAGAAAGTGACTAGGTAAGAAGAACGTGTGGTGAAATAGACAAATGAAATTATATAAACAGTTTATTTACTGTCATAACATATAAAAAAGTTCGCGCCTGTGAGATATCAACAAAACATTATGAAAATAGCTCACACCAAAGCCTTCACCGAGTATTCACCAGACAGCCCGCTTCCAAGTTCTTCCAAGTTGCGCGAACCTATTTCACTGCGCACGTGCTGTGAGCGCAGCCCAGCTGTTGAAACCCGTATTCCCCAGAAAAGTCTGGGGAAAATTAGTGAAACGTTTGAACTCCGATTTCGCGCGTTTTTTTTCATCGCGTTATTTTTCAACTTTATAAGTTGAATTTGCATTTTTTGAAGCTTTGTTTCGGTAAGTCCATACCGAAAGGTATCAGAATCTGCAAAGTTGTGTTTTACTGTCAGCCCCATAGCCATCCAGCGGGGTTCACCTGAGATGGATGTTTTTAACTTTGGGCTTTCCTAAAATATGAAACTAATATTGTGTCAAAAAATTAGTAACTGGTAAAAAACACACTAACGCGTGTCAAACATAAATAGATTCTAATAATATGTATTCACAGCCTGAAGCTTGAAAGACATTTTTATTTAACTTAATCAAAGTCTCTAAAAGTGGCTTTTTTATGGGAGAGCAACTATAGCTCCTCGTTAAACGCATCTTATCAACTATGTAATGGACATCTGTCATAATTAATGAAAACCCAATCCCTACTGACGGTAAGTCTTCAGGGTAATTGCTGTCACGTGACGTCATGACGTTTTGTTATTAGCCTAAATTGGTTCCCATTTGTCATCTCTTGTCTCAGATGAGGTGAAATATGGTGCCCGCAATTCGCATTTGTGGCGAATGTTTACGAAAATAGCTTTATCCGAAAATCGTTACTCTATGAAGGTTGTGTATCTGATAATGATGGATGTCTTATGGGGTTTTAAGCCTTGTTACGTCAGCGATGTTTGCAATAGACACAAAGCGGTGAGGTTATACTTCAGAGGGTGTTGCATTATGTTAAAATCCAGTGCATAGCTCTCGAATATTCTCACCACTTTATGTTATGCAGTAAAGTATATGTTGGAA